CATTAACTTCCGGCGTTGACCGTTGACCCCTATTCTACATTTTGTATGAAGTAAATATGCATACAGTACTATGCACTTAGTATGAACTAAATCTGCATAAGAAATTAGTTATATATGTCATCCTTATAAACTAAATATGCAGCAATAATATCAACTATGTATGCACTGTTTATGTATATGCATCAGGAATGAACTAAATATGCAACGAAAATATGCAATAAAATATACATTTTATACAATTAATTTAAATAAAATAATTAATGATTTTTTATTGTATTATAAATTATAATTTTAAATTGATTAATAACACAAATAAATTGTTATGATTGGATCTCAAAATAAAATAGGTATGCACTGTTCATGAACTAAATATGCATTTCGTAAGAACTAAATATGTATCATGAATAAACTAAATATGCATCATAAATTAACTATATAAATATCGTTATATATTTAATTTAAATATAACAAGTATGCATTTTGTATTAACTAAACATGAATCATAAATTACCTAAATATTCACAATAAATTAACTAAATATGCATCATAAATTAACTATATAAAATGTACATTTTATTGCATATTTTTTCGCTGCATATTTAGTTCATTCATGATGCATATTTAGTTCATAACAGATGCATATTTAGTTAATAACACAAATAATTTTTATTATATAATTAATTTTAATTTTAAATTGATTAATAACACAAATAAATTGTTATGATTGGATCCCAAATAAAATAGGTATGCATTGTTCATGAACTAAATATGCATTTCGTAAGAACTAAATATGTACCATGAATTAAGTAAATATGCATAATAAATTAATTATATAAATATTATTATATATTTAATTTAAATATAACAAGTATGCATTTCGTATTAACTAAATATGCATCATAAATTACCTAAATATTCATAATAAATTAACTAAATGTGCATCATAAATTACCTATATAAAATGTACATTTTTATTGCACATTTTTCGCTGCATATTTAGTTCATTCATGATGCATATTTAGTTCATAACAGATGCATATTTAGTTCATAACAGGTGCATACTTAGTTGATATTATTGGTGCATATTTAGTTCATAAGGACTGCATGTGCAATTCATATCCCATGCATATTTAGTTCATCTTGAATACATGGTACTGGATGCATATTTACTTCATACATATGATGCATACTAGGGGTCAACGGGTCAACGCCGGAAGTCAACGGTCAACGCTGGAGTCAACGCCGGAAGTTAACGGTCAACGTCGAAAGTCAACGTTTTTTCGCCGGAAGTCAACGGTCAACGCCGGAAGTCAACGGTCAACGCCGGAGTCAACTAATAATTATTTTATTATTTAATTAATATATATTTTAAGGAGTGTACTCATTTTAAGGAGTGGACTCATTGGATCCTCCCCCTATATATATATATATATATATATATATATATATATATATATGCACCATGTTATATTTAATTATATAACAAATATGCACTACGGATGAAAGAAATATGAACCATGAATGAATTAAATATGCATCATGTCATATTTAATTTAAATATAACAAATATGCACTATGGATGAACATATGCATTTCGTATGAACTAAATATACATCATATTTTATTTAATTTAGAAGTGGTCTCGAGCGACGATACTCTAGGAACCAAGCCACACAACTCTGTGACCGCCGCCGCTGGGATGGCCCAGAGGGCCTCGGCGCCTCGCTGGAAAAGTCGCAAAGAAAGCTTACTTACAGTTTTTAGATGGAAATTAGGGTGGTTGAACGAATTTACTTAAACTAATCTACAAATTGTGCCGCTTATGCATTATATCAAAATGTGTATCATTAATTACAAGCGGGGAACCACCGATTTAAAATGAACTTTATCGTGGATCTCACAATGGCTCCAAGATGGAGTGGGTCGGTTCGACGGTTTGTGGAGTCGATCCGAAATAATTAGAATTCATATTCAAGATTTTATTTCTTTTCACCCAGTTTGGATTGTAAACCCGACAGTTTGTTTTATTCCGATTTTAACCCATGGATTGCGGCTTCAAAAATTAAAATATTGAAGTTGGGTTCATTCGGAAAAATCAATGATTCATCAATCTGGTTAATGTCTAATTCAGTGACCGAACCTAAACCGGTATTTCGCAGATCCAATCTAGGTTAGTGGCAATGTCTTTTTTTTTTTTTTTCAGAACGATAGAAATTTTATAAAAGGACACAAATGTGCTAATACAAACATCAACTGACAACACACAGCCACCAGCCGAATAAACTTGAGAGGACAGGACAAAGCCCGCCTAGAGACGACCCTACAAGGATAATAAACACCCTACACAAAGACTAAACACCAAAAACGGCCCCAACAAGGTAATGCTCGAGTGTGTGGTCCCAAAAGGATAATAAATTCACACTCAAGCAGATTGAGGCCAACGGCCCAAACCAAAAATACAACAACTAGCAAACACACCAACATAAATTACAGAAAACGAACAAATAAATAAAAAAACTACACACTAACAACATAGCCTCCCTAAGCAGATACTTCCTGAAAAGACAGCAGACAAATCCGATTCCGAGGAGAGATTCGAAACTCCGATACCACGCCCGCCACTGCGAAAGGCCTAGCAAGACGATGACCCAAGCCTCAAAACCAATCCGAGAACCCGACCCGTACTCCAGACGCAAGAAGCCACGACATCCCCCCCACCGGCTAACACCACTAGCCGATCCGACACCCACCCGAAGCAGCCTAACACCACTAGCCTACTCCAGGGACCGTCGGCCTCCCCAAACTCATACCCGAGAAAGGGGAGAAAGAAGACGAGTGGCTTCCCTGCCCGACCGCTCCGACCCAGCCCGAACGACACCACCTCCAAACAAACCAGCCCACCAGGAGAAGACCCGACCCGCCACCCCCCACAAAAGAGGAAATGACTGCCAGACCCCCGCTGAGGCCAGAAAATCGCCCGCAGCACAACTCCAGACTAGCCGTGAAGAGACGCCACGATCAAGCCAAATCAAGCGGCACAAGCATCTTCCACTCACGACCACACCTCGCCTTGCCTCGAAACCCCTGAATTCCGGCATCTTTCAAGCAGAGCACAACCACCGAAACCCTAGCCCTAATCCAGAGGCGCCAAAACAAAGACCAGAAGAGCTGCCGCCATGGAGGAGCGGAGGAGCCGTCCACTGACTATCCCGGACTACCGCTCAAGGAGCCGATTGAGCGCGAATTGATGGAGACCAAGCAAGAGCGATTTGGGCGAATTGGGGGAGACGACAACGTTAGTCTTGGCAATGTCTAATTCGATAATAAGATTATATGTCAAACAAAATTGCACTACGCGACCTCGGTAATTTACACGTTGGAAACAATATTATTTTAAAATGATTAAAATTTATAATATGAAACTTTCTTGGGAAACTTTGGTGTGTTATATTGGTAATCTCTTTATCAAATTACTACACATTACATAGTGGAAGTTGTAACTGATGTGTTAGGTTCTCAATCAAAGGGACACATGCATGGTTGATGTTTAGTTGGCAAAACTGTGGGCAACCCAGCTGAGGTTGACGGACGGTATAAATCAACACCAAACGGCCACTAATTCCTTCAATTAAACCCCAATTTTATGGCCAATTTTGATGGGATAACAAATATCTGAATCTGATTTGACCCCACACCCCATAAATAAATCCCCAGCACTACCTACCTAATCAGGCTATTACTAATTTTAAAAATGAATTTTTTCGATTAATCAGAGTTAATTTTAAAAAAGTTAGATGTTTAGTTGTTACTGAGATTAAAATAGTATTTGAAATAAAATATTTAAAATTGATTTAATGTACAGAGAAATGATGTGAAATGATAGTTAGTTATTAAAATTAGTGAGTAGATGAATAAATTAAAATTGATGTAATATGTGTAAGAATGATTGATTGATATTAATTAAATATATTGATAATATTAATAAAATTAAATCCCTCCCTTATATATTCATTCAAAACGTATTGAGCTTACGTGGCAGATTCTCACGCTTCGGATGCTGACATGACGAAAGTCTATGCTTCAGTGATGTTGTTTTTATATTATTTTTGCTCTAGAGTTAGGTTTGGTATTAAACATATATAAATTTACACATATCTATATATATATATATATATATATATATATAATTGCTGGCTAATGAGCATTTAATAAAACTTATTAAATTATACCTATGTGGCAAAATTTTATTTTCCCTCCAAAAACTGTGACTTTTTATTTATTTAACCTCTCATTTAATTATTAGATAATCAACACACTAATCACTTCAAAATACAAAAATCATTTTAAACTTTTGATTTACTTACAACTGACCATATAATGTGTTGATTATTTAACGTGTTTAGATGTTATTGTTGTGGTTACGATTAAATGAACTTCTTTTGAAAATAAAAAACGTATTTGAAATTCTTAAATAAATAATAAATAATTCACAAAAAAATACATACCAAAATATACATTACATCCATTATGAAAAAAATAAATATTCCAGCTCTTTTAAATGTAAATTTGGCCTGCGAAAAGTGCAAGAAAAAGTATTAATCATTATATGCATAGAAATAACTCATTATACTTTATTTATATCTGTGCAAATGAACAGGTCGAATACTAGTATTCATTAACTCAAAACTCATGTTGTAAATGCGTATTAGTACAAGTTAGATTTTAAATATGAATTCACCCACTTCTCCAAAATGGTTTGAGGCCCATTTAATTAGCTAATCATAGGATAGCAGGCCCAAATCTTAGTGTAGAAAGCCTGGCCCAGATCATCGGCGTCGGCGTTTTATCTTAAACCCTTCTTCACAAACATTTGCATTTGTATGGTGAGATGGGAAGGCAATGAACCAGATAGCTTAAACCCTATCTCCTTCTTTCCCTGAACAGAACACCATTTTCTTGTTTCCAAATCTACCCTTATCGCCCATCCACATTTTGGTGTTATGCCGACCAAACTTTCCGCTTTGCACCCCATTTTCAGACCCATCTTTTCAGGCGTGTTGCCTCATAGGCTGAAGAACCCATTTTTGGGGCTCCCAAGGTTGCAGCATCGAGTGCTTTTAGTCCGAGGACAGGCTCCCAGTTTGGTCCCATTCGTCGCTAGCAGTTATTCAACCCGATCGGGCCGCGAAAGAATGGGTTCGGGCTTCAAGCAGAATGCGAGTGCAGGGTCCTCCAAGAGTTTGATCGATGACGAGGCCGACCTGAGTGACTGGGTAAGTGGGTTGAATTCGAGCTCCATTATGAAAACAAAAGTCTATAGTGATAGCGACGATGAGGAGAGTGAGAAGAGTGGGGTTAGAGACGGGACCGTGAAGAGAAGAAGGGATGGTGCATTTGGCAGGGATTCGGATTTTTCGGGCGGACGTCGGGGTGGAAACTTTAGGTCAAGCGAGCCATTTTCAAGGAGGAGAAATGAAAATAATGGCTCTAATGGTGGTTCGTTTGGTGGGAGGGGCAGGGACAGGGGCAGGGATTCGGGTGATTTCAGGAGGAAAGAAAGCAGTGGTTCTGGTGGTGGTCTGTTTGGTGGGAGGGGCAAGGGACGTGATTCAGGCGAATTCAGAAGAAATGAGAGATTCAAGGAGAAGAGAGAGAGTGGTGGCGATTTTGTGAACAGGGGAAATGAGCGGTGGAGAGAGAAAGGGAAGAATGAGAGAACATTTGATGTTGGATATAAAAGAGGTGATGATAAAAGCGGTTTTGGGGTCACGAGGAGAGGGAAAGAAACTGGAAGGAGAGAATTTTTGGGTACGGATGATGAGTATGTGGGGGACAAGGATGAGGGGAAAGATAAGGGGTATATGAGTTTCAAGAAGCTGATTGATAGCGGGGAAGATGATGATGATGATGATGATGATGATGAGCAAGAAGTGGAAGCTGAAGAGGAAGATGTGATTGGTGATGGAGTAGTTGAGAAAGGAAAGTCTTTTTCCCAGTTGGCTCAAAGCTCGATTCCAGTGTCGAGTGATTCTCACCTTAGTGAGAGCAGGTGAACTTTTAAATGCCTAATTGTTTGTCACATGGTGTATCGGTGAGGCTAGGTGGAAAATGCCAATAAAAAATAAAAGAAACTACTAAAAGGAAGTTGGCTAGTGACACTTAGAATTTTGGGTTCACAATTGTTAATTTAATATATCACTGTTAGAAAATTTTTTGTGAATGTGTTCTGTAAAAAAATGTGTTAAAATCTTTTGAAAATGTGTAGTTGTAGAATGAAAGTTCATTTCTTGTTTTTCGGTTGTGTACATTTGTGTGTTGGTGAAGTAATTTTATCTACTATTAGAACCATTTATCAAGGTAAATGAGTTGAGTTTTCATTTTTCCCCTTATTAATTTGTTGTGCAACATGCATTGATCCACAGGTTTGATCAGTGTCCTATCTCACCTTTGTCTTTTAAAGCAATCAAAGATGCCGGATATGAAAGGATGACATTGGTGCAGGAGGCAACACTTCCAGTGATTCTTAAAGGTAAACTGTAAAAGCTACATAATTTATTTTGTTCCGCTTTCGTACTTGAGCACTGGATTCAACATAAACTGAATCTGGAATACACGTTATGCTTTGGTGGCATGCTCCTGCCTTTTGCATATAGTATTCCTAATCCAGAGTGATCTGATATTTTCTTCTTATTAATGCAATTTTATCATTCTCAGCTCCCATGTCTTCATTTCATGTAATAGTTGATATTTATATATCGTTAGCTGTTTTCTTATAGGTAAGGATGTACTGGCTAAGGCAAAAACTGGCACAGGGAAAACTGTAGCATTTTTGGTAATGATTTGTTTGAATTTCTACATTCTGATTTTCCAGATTATTGCCTTTTTAACTACGGAAAGAGCTTTTAATGCATGATTTGCTCTCTGTTGAATAATACTCGATGTACTTATATAATATTCAGCGATTATTGTAGAGTTTTTAATGTTTTGCTTGATCATATCCGCCGTCTCTTTATTTCGACTTATTTTTCTCTTCTCTTTGTGGGAGCAGCATTTAGTATATAGTATACTCTAAAACGGTAGGGTTCGTATTAGAACGGCCAACCGTTGGGCAATTATACTTTTTTAGCAAATATACATACTTTCATACACAAGTGTCGTACTTTAAAATTATGATATTTGTGATCATAAAGATGCATTTATGTTAAAAAAAAAAAACAAAAGATGATAGATCCACCCGACTAGTATTTAGGCTTTCTCACACAAGAATTTGGGGGCACTAAAACTTCTAATTCAGAGAATAGTGTGATTATGATGCATAATTTCAATTAGTAAAATAAAAAAATGTCACAGTAACATTTTGAATTAGATTCAGATGTCATTTAATGATGCTACTAGAAGTACGTTAAGATATTCCCACATGCTTATTTTTATGTCTCCATTTCAGCTCCCGGCGATTGAGCTTGTGGTAAAATCATCCCCGGTTGGTCTTGACCAAAAGCGACCTCCGATACTTGTGCTTGTTATCTGCCCGACTCGTGAGCTTGCTAGTCAGGCGGCTACAGAGGCCAACACTTTGTTGAAGTATCATCCTTCTATTGGCGTTCAAGTTGTCATAGGAGGTACACGCCTAGCTCTTGAACAAAAACGAATGCAAGCCAATCCATGCCAGGTAAATTTTGCTACATCGCCATTTATATTGAGTTTTGAATATATCCATGCGGGGACGGCTGGCAGATGAGCAAGCGCTGTCCTGAGCGCTTTTGTCAGCAGCGTCTGACGTGTGTTTGAACCTAGACAAATTTTAATTTGTAACTTCATTGGCTTTCGATCTTCACCTTTATATGCTTTTAGAGAGAGAAGTGTGAAAAAGTTGATGGCATCGGGCTAAGATTGGCATTTGATTTTGAAAGTTAATGCTATATAACTTTTTAATAAAATAGTGATATGGTGTGAATGGTGATTGGGAAAGTAATCTACATCGACCAATATATTTTTGTGTATGGAAATTGTGATTGAGATAGACTTGATAGTTGATGGCATTGGTGATTGAATATAAGTTAGTCGTGCATATACTGAGCATCATTCACAAGAAATTGCATGTTAAGCTAAACAATTTCTCAAAGGAGAAAAAAAAAAAATTCACAAGTTATTCCAGCCTTAATTGAGATTTTCATGTGTACTATTACAAGTCCGTGAAGAAGGACAAACTATTAAATTTAAACAGTCAGGGGAAGGGGTGCGGTCCTACAAGGGTAAAACGTATCTTAAGAGGTAAGAGGGTGAACCTAGTTGCCACCTTAGTGAGATTACTCCCAATGATATTCCTACACTCCTCGCCAATTGTGAGTCCTTCATAGACCCAGTTTTACAGCAGGCATTGTTGATCAAATCATCACCGGTCCTAGATCAGGCTCACGCTGATACAATATTAGATGTCTATAGTTGGAGAAGGGATGTGGCCCCACAAGGGTGAAGTGCACCATAAGAGGGCTAGCCTTGTTGCCACTAATTAATGAGGTTCCATTGCTGATGAGAATATCCCACTAGGCCTATAAACTAGGCCCTTTTTACCCTGGATAACTCACAAGTGATATTCCACCAAAACTGAAGAAAGGGTCACCCAAAATATGTAAAGAAGTGCCTTAATTGGGACTAAAAATACAATTACCTTTTAATCTTCTAGTACAATTTAAGCTTGTTGGGCATATGTGTCCATTCATTCAGTTGATAAAATACTTTAAATGTATGATTAGAAATCCTTAAGTCCCATTTGTGAGATAGGGCTGTGTAGACTTAACCTGCGCCTCTATTTGTTCCTTCGTTCATCCTCCTTGATGCATTTTATTCATGTTTAAACACTGGTGCTGCTTATCCATGCTCTGTTTTGCAATTTGTTAAGCATTAGTTTAATTCTACTAATTCATTTTATTTAATGTGCAGATACTTGTAGCTACACCTGGAAGACTTAGGGATCACATAGAGAATACATCTGGATTTGCTACCCGACTGATGGGAGTTAAAGTCTTGGTCCTTGACGAAGCCGATCACTTGTTAGACATGGGATTTCGCAAAGAAATAGAGAGGATAATAGCTGCTGTTCCAAAACAGAGGCAGACACTTCTATTTTCTGCAACAGTCCCGCAAGAGGTAATAAATGCATTTCCTTATTTCTTCTGGTCTTTTGTGAAATTGGTAATTGTTAATTAAGTTTTGGTACAGGTTCGTCAAATCTGCCATATTGCTTTAAAAAGAGACCATGAATTCATAAACACGGTACAGGAAGGAAGTGAAGATACACACGCACAGGTAGCTTGACACAAAGAAAATTTTGCATTTATATATAACTTGATGTCTCTTATTTACATGTTGGGTTACCATAATGTTTGTATTGTTGAAAAATGTTTCAGGTCAGGCAGACTCATCTTGTTGCTCCTCTGGATAAACACTTTCCGCTTCTTTACACTCTTCTTAAAGAGCATATCGCAGATGATGTTAATTATAAGGTATCAAAACCTATCTTTTACCTGATCATTTTACACTCCGGGAAAGCATTCTCTGTGAATTTCAAACAATGAAATACATTTTTTTTTCCATTTTTTTACGTGTGGCTACAATATTTCCCCGTGATACAGATTCTCGTATTTTGCACAACTGCAATGGTAACAAGGCTTGTGGCTGATCTTCTGGGTGAGCTCAACTTGAATGTCCGTGAGATTCATTCCCGAAAGCCCCAAAGTTACAGAACAAGAATTTCAGATGAATTTCGCAAGTCCAAGGGTCTTATTCTCGTGACATCTGATGTTTCTGCACGTGGTGTAGATTATCCAGATGTTACTCTAGTGGTTCAGGTTATGCTCTGCTTGATTCCATAATACATTGTTAGATTGCTTCTTTAAAAATTGAAAATTTGTCTTTGTCATTATTATTCGTATCCCGCTTTTCTTGAATGCATTGATCTTTGCCTCTGAGGGGATTTACCTTAAGGTTTGGCATGATTAGCAACAAAATTTGACATTTTGGCTTTGGTTACCATTTGAGATTCGCATTTGATTGTTCTGATTGGATGCTGATTGGTTTACTATTTTTCTAAATAATGTATACGAGTGTTTGGTTTTTATTTTTAGGAGACGTGCAATTTCCACATATATAGAGGATTTAAACCAGAAATAAATTTTGTTGCAGATTGGTGTTCCAGCTGATAGACAACAGTATATACATCGACTAGGGCGGACTGGGCGAAAAGGAAAAGAAGGACAAGGCATATTAATGTTGGCACCTTGGGAAGAGTTCTTTTTGTCAAGCATTAAGGACTTGCCTCTATCAAAGGCACCTGAACCGTTGGTTGATCCAGACACGAGAAAGAAGGTGAACACCGAATTAAATCATAATGCTCTCCATTTACACACCCTCTTTTGTTTCTACCTTTACCTCGAGAAGGGATTTATCTTGAACAACACAATTCTTTTTTACTCTACATATCCTGATACTTGAAGCACATATATCTTAATTCTTGAAGGGTATTAGTTGAATTAGAAGGTGGGCAAAAATACTCTAGATAATGCCTTTAATTTTATAAATTGTTGTCTTAGTCAATAAAAGCGTGAAGGACTTGTCTGATATCGATTACTCTGGTGTGTTCATAATTTTGATTTTTTTTTTTTAAATAAAAAAATTGTTTTTTGGCAACATTACGAAATTTGAGGGTTTTACTTCAAACAACAATCTAATTGCTGTGTTATTTTTTCCTTTTTCTTATAAAGTGAGAAATCTGTTTCTTGTTTGAACAGGTTGAGCGTGCATTATCCCATGTGGAGATGAAGAACAAGGAAGCAGCATACCAAGCATGGCTCGGTTATTACAATTCGAATAGAAATATTGGGCGGGACAAATATAGACTTGTGGAGCTTGCTAATGAGTTTAGTCGATGCATGGGGCTTGACAACCCCCCAGCCATCCCGAAGCTGGTCCTAGGCAAAATGGGGCTGAAGAATATACCTGGGTTGAGGTCTAAGTAGATATATAGACTGCCACACACCAGTTCTTTATCGATTTTCAAGTGGCAAGAAGGTTCAAACTTTGGTAGAACTATGAGTTCCTTTTTTTTTTTT